ATGGACAAAGCTAAAGTTTATTTTCTTGGTTTGTATTGTTTGCAGAGAATTGCAATGCTAAATAGTGTCAGGCCCTGCATCATCTCTGAGGCTACTGCGTGTTAACTTCTGGCCACTAGGCTCTGGGCCTGTTTCCTTTGGGCCTGTTGCCTTCTTTTGCACCCTTGGAGGTATCCTGTCTGCCCTTTCTGAACTTACACRAATGCAGATTATTAACCACTCCTCAGTCCTCTTCTGTGCTGGGTACTATGTGCCTTCTCTCCATATCTTTTAAATACCTCCAGGGATGCTGACTCYACCACTTCCCTGTGGAACCTGGTCTAGTGCTCAACCTTTTTGCTGAGGAGCCTGCCCCTAATATTCAATTTTCTAATCTGCCCTGAAAAAACTTGAGGCCGGTTTCTCTCATACTATCAGTTGTTGGGAGAAGAGCCAACCCCCACCTGGCTATACCTTCCTTTCAGGGAATTGTAGAGAGTGACAAGGTCTTCCCTGAGCCTCCTTTTCTCCAGGCTAAAAACCCCCAGCTCCCCCAGCTGCTCCTCACAGGAYTTGTGGTCCAGTTCAGCAACATCACCAGTTTTGTTGTTCTTCTGTAGACGTGCTCCAGAACCTCAAAGTCTCTCCAGCTTTCCACTCTGCCCAGCCTGTGGCACTGCCTGGGGTTGTTGTGAGCCAAGGGCAGGACCCGGCCCTTGGCCTTGTTGAACCTCACCCCATTGGCCTCAGCCCATGGATCCAGCCTGTCCAGATCCCTCTGCAGAGCCTTCCTGCCCTCCAGCACATCAACACTCACACCCAACGTGGTGTCACCTGCAAACTGACTGAGGGTGCACTCCAACTCCTCGTCCAGATCATTAACAAAGATATAAATCAGGGCTGACCCCAATATTGAGCCCTGCGAAACTCCACCAGTGACCGGGGCCTCCTTTCACCATTGCTGGTCTTTATCCATCGAGCAGCCAGACTGCTCTTTACCCATCGAGCTGTTCACCCATCCAAACCACAAGTAGCCAGTTTGTCCAGAAGAACGTGTGGGAAATGTCAAAGGCTTTACTGAAGTTCAGGTAGAYGACATCCACAGCCTTTCCCTCATCCACTAAGCCAGTCATCCTGTCATAGAAGAGCAAGTTTTCATGCAGGATCCACCTTTCCTAAACCCATATGGCTGATCCCCTGGTTGTCCTGTATGTCTTGCATGACAGCACTCAGGATGATCTATTCCATGGCCTTCCCTAACACTGAGGTCAGGCTGAAATTCCCTGGATCCTCCTTTCAGCCCTTTGGTAGACAGGYATCACATTTGCCAACCTCCAGTCACCTGCGACCTCTCACGTTAACCAGGATTGCCGGTGAATGATGGAAGGTGTCTCAGTGAGCCCATCTCTGGTTCCCTCAATACCTTGGGGTGGCTCCCATCTGGTCCCACAGACTTGTGTGTGTTTCTAAGTCGTGTGGCAGGTTGCTGACCATTTTCTCCAGATTGTAGAGGCGATTCCGCTCCCTGTCCCTGTTTTCCAGCTCAGGGGGCTCAGTACCTGGGGAACAGCTGGTCTTACCATTAAAGACTAAGGCAAAGAAGGTATTAGATATACCTCAGCCCTTTCCATGTCTTTTGTCACTGTGTCCCCTGCATCCAGCGAAAGATGGACAACTTCCTTAGCCCTTCTTTAGTTACTAAAGTACTTGTAGCAGTACTTTTTACTCTCTACTATGGCAGTGACCAAATTAAGTTGGACTTTGACTCTTCTAATACTCTCCCTACATAAACTCATGACATCCTTGCAGTCACCCTGAGTGTGCCACCTTCTCATTGATGATTTACTGCATAGCTTTATTTTTCCTGCAAGAATTTTCTGCCTACTGAAATCTGATGTCATGGACATTTAATCCATTTTGTGCTTTCCAGCTGCAGGGAYCCTCCACTGTTGTTTCAGTATTTTTTCTGATACAGCATATCAGCTGTATCAGTAGTCATATTAGGATTATTTAAGGGTATGGGGTGCCCAGAAATGCATATTGAAAAGACAGAGGCCTCAGTGTCACAGGGAAACAGGGCAGAAGTTCTGGTATTTCGTTTTGGCCTCTGCCCAGCCTCTGATACATCAGTCACCTCAGCAGCCATTGCTATGTGCCTTCTCTTAGGAAGGATGGGGAAAATAAAGCAGTACCGGGGGCAAGCTGTAGTACTTTGTAGTAACCTTTTGCCCTTGCAGAAGGGCAGCAGAAACTGTTTCATAAATGTTTCTATTCCCTGGGTTTCAAAAAGACACCAGTAGAAAGGAACTCAAAKAACATGCAGGGAGAGGTGCAGACAATGCTACAACCTTTGAAAACCCATGTAAGACAATTAACGCTGCTGCACATGCTGGGAAGCTGCCCTGCTAGCAGCAGTTTCTGACATTAGCTTGAGGCACACAAACAGGTCAGATGCTGTGTCCAGCACACATAAAATGAAATGTGGCTGCCTCCAATAGCAAGCAGCAGCCATGGGTATCTGCTCTGGCCTATCTGCCCTGCTCCAYGGCCGTGATTTCAGTGTTTCCCTTCAAGCTCTCTTGGCCAGCTTCTCCCAACTGCACTCTTTTCCCTGGGGATTCACAGAAATTTACCACCTCCTTCGCCTTTCCCTCCTCAGAATCCCTTTTGTTAGTTGGAGAAATACCAAAGTGAAGAAGACAAAGAGCCATTAAGTAGTAGTGCTTAATGGAAAAAAAAAATTACCAATAAATGCCAGYATTTAGGAAGTAACTTCTGCCTGAGCAAACAGCATTATTTACTGCATGTGCTTAAAATATTCACACCCTCTTCTTCCTTTACTCATGGGACTCTTTTTCTCTCCATTAAAAGTTAGCAGATAAGARCAAAGAAAGGGCTGTAATTATTGCAAGAGACTTCCTCGGCTCAGTTCCTAATAATAAGTGTAAGTAAACACACACATGCACACACTAGGGCTCAAGTGTTGTCAAGTTCTTATATGACAGAAAGAGTTGCTTCATGATGGTACTTGCTCAAAACATACAGAGCTATTACTTGGCTCTGAAATAATGGCAAATACCATCAATACAGGAATCCAAAAGCTACAGTGTATAAGAAATGTTTAACCAAAAGTAAATGAAAAGCAAAATGAAAAATGTTAGAACAAAATACAGCTTAAAGTTTCCTTACACTATGAGTTTTTCAGCAAAGTTAATCTTTGTATTGCCCATACACATATCTTATGACTAAAAAAGAAACACATCTTGCTCATAATTAAATTTAACTGACAATAATATATCATCTTATTTACRGGAAAAGCGGAGAAATCTGAATATCTATGGGCTGGTTAATCCCATTTTAAAAATCTGTACTGTAGAATACTAGTAACACATCAATAAAGTAGATTAATAATCATCCATCCAATGGATCTCAATAAAAGTAACCAAAAAGAAATTATTGCTTCCTGGAAAGGCTCCTGGCTGGATTTATGAAGTCATTGAGCATATTTACTCACAAGAAAATACAAAATTACTGCAGAGGAAATTTGCAAACAGCCAAAGTTTAATAAGAGCGGAAAATGATRAGAGCAAAAAGTCACAAGGATCCATCTGGTGTACGCCATTATAAAAAGTACATCTCAAAGTCAAATGCTATTCAAAGTTGTATTTTATACTTTCTTGTTTTGAAAACATAACTATTATTCAAAAATTTGGGATTGAACAGAACAGAGAGGCAACTTCATAGGTAGAATAAGCAATACCAGATAAGAAAAATAATCTCATTCTTTTTGAATGCAAAACTGAAATCAGTATCTTTTAGAGAACATAAAGTACTGAGGGAAGAACATGTAAGTCAACACCATTTTGAGAAAGATTACAATCAATCTTAGCTTCAATGTTTCAAGAAATGAATCTGTAAATGGATCTTTTTATTACTGCAAAATACTGTCCTCGTCTTTTGATAATTCAGATCATGAAAGGCATTTTTCAGCCTAGCCATAACCCCTTCTCATTTCCCACAATTGCTCACACAGACACCTGGAACAGTCCTTCACATAAACCTTTATCCCACTCCTACTCCCACATCAGACTGTGACCCCTCAATAAAAGCATCTTATGCTTCAGACACTGCTCCGTGATTTTCATACTCAAAAGTCTGCTGGAGAAGTCACAGGTTCAAATAATGCTTCTCCAAGACACAGGACATTCATTTGGGCTTTTGTCCTCCTCTAATCATCTTTCAGTTTCCCAAGGCCTTTAACATTGCTCAGGCAGATAGAAATATGCCTCGTTACCTTAAACAAGGTTATTAAGATTTCTAGACATCTCTGATACAAACCATATCAGAAAGTACCTTACTGAAAGCCATTGAAAATGTCAAACTTGTCAACAGTATGAAAGTTACTTATGTTGTTTAATGTTAAAACATAAAGTTCAAGGAAAGGCTTAATGTCATGAGCTGCTTAAATAATACTTGGATTAGTTTATATTTCTGTAGTTGAAACCTGGAGATCTGTTTGGCTACATACAGTAGTATTGCTTTCTTCTTAATGTATTTGAAACAGCAATGATGCAATTTTTTGACAGAAATATAGAAAAAAATGCAGACTTTAAAATATAGTTTTATAATGAGCTACATGCGGTTTTACACTTTCCCTCAAGTTACTGCTCCAGGTACAAACATAGAAGAGCTGTCATTGTCAAGAAAAAGCATCAGACCTCAGAAAAAAAAAAAAAAAAAAAAGACATTTGAAAAGCATGGACACAAGAAGGAAAAAGGCTTGCATAAATCATGTTTGCTTTCCACAATGTGCAAGTATAATTTTAGAAGTCTGGCTTCTGATAACGGATTGCTTGGTGCCAGCAGTATGCAGGAAAAATACACATACCCTCTATTTTAATGTTTTTAGCTTCACAGACCCCATTCTCCTTTGTGTGTCCTTTTCTCCTTTGCCTGATCCCCAGCTGCATTTATGTCAYCCTAAACACAGTACACTGACAGTAGTTCAAAAACCTACTTACAGGAATCATCCAGTTGGCCAGGTCACCGAATTTAGACACCTGCATTGCTCCAAGCATTGTCAAATCGACATGGCCTCTGGCAACAGAAAGTGTGCAGTTAGCATATCATGTTCAAGTAACAGCCCACAAATCTTCACAAGCTTTTGTTCATTCTCATTACACCAATTTAAAAATGGTGGCTTATGAAAGAGATAGCAACCATTTGTCACACATGGAGATGGGGTTTTTTTTCCCCTAGATGTATCACTGATGCAAATTTCTCTTTATGCCTACTGAGCCTCAAAAATGTTCCTACTTTTGTCTGATTTGGTTAATTGCATGCACAGTCAATCATCTCTGAACTCATACTTTTTAGCGCACTCCTTAACATATTTACATGCACTCATTATCTTTTCAGAGCCATTAGGATTTAGTGTTTGTTTGCATTCAACCTCCTTTCTGAAAAACAAACAAAAAACAGGTGCAGACGTTGAATTCCCATTAAGGAGGTGGAATGAGGATCACAGTTGCAAGCTGAGCAAAGAAAATGTACAGAGTGCAAGTACAGATTAGATACTTGGAAATGACAAAAAAAATAGTTGTTAAAACGTAGTTATAAATGTGTTTATATATGTCCAGGTGGTGTAGGCACAAACATCACTATGGTATCTATTAGATACAGTGGTTTTTTATTTCCAATAGCTAAACCTAACCCTCTGTAAACCATCACTGATTAAGTCCATGATCATTTTGCAGGTTGTTAGCATTGTTAAATGCCAACCACGTTTGAAAGAAATACTAATGAGTTCAGCCACTGACGCAGTTTATTCTTTTCCCATTTCAAAAAGATCAGGGTTTATGTTGTTACATACCCTCTTATCATTGCAAATGATTCATCGCTAGAGAAATAGGAAGAACCTGGAAGAACAGTGACTGTCTCCTTACCTGCAAAAGAAATAAGCTACAGTACGTATGTGTTTTGTCTCTTTGACAAATGAAGTCACAGCTATTAGCCAAGAAATAAGGGTTTTTTATCAAATTCCTTTGGATTCAGTACAACTACAGGTCTGATTGCACTTGTTACATCACATGTAAACCTAATCAATCCTATTGAATTGTGAAGCAGTTTGTTAGAGCGTCTAATGAGGATTGCCCGCTCTCTGCCCACCAGCACTTCCAGGCAAGACATCACAAACACCAGGCGAGTGTAAGAAATATCTATGGACTTCAGCTTTCTGCTCCATTCACAGAAAAAGTGAGAAGTAGCTATCTTTTGAAATAGAGAAAGTATTCAGGACATGGAGAGGCTGCAAAGAAAAGCAAGCAGATCAGATTTTTTATAGTGCTAATGATGAAAAATACAAGTAAATGACAGGTCTAGTCTATTATTGCTTTTTCAAAGGGCACAAGAAAATTAAGTTGGACTTTACACAGAGTGTTTCTCTGTGCTGCACTGTTCTCTGAAGAATGCTGATTGCTCACGCAGTGGAGCACACCTGGAAGTGACTTATTTTGACTCTGTCCAGAGCCCTTTACTTCTTCTGCCAGTTCTTTGAATCAGTCTAAGCAATAAACATTTACACAGGGTGCCTCTGAAAAGGCAAAAGAAACACAGATGAAGGTGAAATTACAAAACAAGCCTGGTAAACTTGAGAGGAAAAAAAAAGAACCAAAATATTTTAGTGCCAGGTGACATAGTGAAGAAACAGTTAGTGCAACAACAAAAGGGAAGGGGAATAAAGCATCATTAAACAGTTTCCAGAAAACAGATGAAAAAAGAAGCAATGAGATTAACTAAGAGACTGAGAAAAGGGAAAGAAACAGTGCATAAAATTTAAAATAGAGATCTAAGACATCTGCTTTAATTATTGTGCTCATCTGATGTATATTTAATGCCATTTGTATGGAAACTAAATTTTGACACACAGAATAGTATCGAATTAAGGTCATATCAGCAGTCTTGCACACTTCACAAGAATTCTGCGTGCTAACACCCAGACCYGCTGGAACTGCTAGAATTATCCTTCCATACCCAGCACCCACCCAAGGCAGTTAGAGAGAAAACAGGGATGCAAATGACAACATAGAGAGGGAAGCCTGGGATAAAGTGACACAGTAAGGTAATGATGAGAAGAAAGATACACAGGCTTAGGACCACCAAATACTGTAAAAAGAGCACCACATCACCCACTTCTTGAAAATGGACTCAGGGGGTCAGCATTTTTAAATATTTCTGCTGTAATACAGTAGTCTACCTTTCAGTTGCATTGAAGATACACTTCATATGAGACATTCAGAAAATGGGACAAACAGAAAAACCCATACATATTTCAGAGCAATACAATTACATTTGCAGAGACAAATTTGGCAAAAGCTCAAACAAGGTGTATTTTTAAAAAACTTTAAACCTGACTTTGGGGCTGAAACTGGATGATTTAAGTTAATGAATGAAAACAAGATTAATTTCTATTCCTCTGTGGTTTAGCTTCTGTTTTCTTCACATGGCTTTATAAATTTGGTTGGAAGCACCTAAAATGGTCTTAAACCGACCATATTAATGTTTCAGCAGCTATAGCTCTCATGATTTTGGTTGTAGGTCTAAGGTTCATGTATCCCATATACCGTTTACTGTGGCTTCAGAGGGACRTGTGAAGCTTTCTAATATTGAATTATCATTACTAGAATAATCTAATTTCCATGTTGCATTGTGATTTCTTATGTTAGCTTCATCCCTTCCAGATTAACTCTTAAAAAATATTTATCAAGTCTAAATAACAATTCAAGATCATCTTGATTTTCATGTTAAAGCACAACTTTTTCAGAGAATTTATGAAGTTCTTGGCTATTTTTCTCACTCTCACTCTATTGATACATTCATTTTTCATATGCACCCTTATTAAAACTTAAATTCTAAAGTGCATGCATATGATTTCACTTCTTACACTATTTTCTTCCTTCTAAATAATGTTTTTGTTTACAGTGACACCTCTGACATATTCCTTCATACAGTGTATCAAAACAATTACATAGGTACTGGTGAAATGCTGGACTCAATTTCTTAATAATTTTTTATTTMAAACCAGAAAATGGCCTCAAATAACTCCACATTTAAAATATAGTACTGTAACACAGGCAATTACACAGCACTGTGATAAGCAGCATTTAGTTGAACCAAGCAGCAAATGTTTCAAATCAGTGAATAACTACTGGACTAATACTAAATTAAAATTATTTTATTTCAGCACTTTATCTCCTTTGACTTTTCCGAGTTTAATTGTATTTGCTAAAAGCCATTGAGAAAGGTACTGTCTGTATAGATATACATGAACATCCATACATGTATTTGTATGCATGCATGTGTATACTCGAATAAAAAGTATGAAATGTGTATGTGTTTCATATTAAAAAAACAACTCTAAAATGTCAGGTCTATAACCTATACCATTAACATCAACAATGTTCCAAGGCCTACTTGTGTTTGACACAATGCAACGTTTAAGTGCATTTTTACACAGAAAMAGAGAATGTACACAGGCACAACTTTTCCATAGAACAAGAAGAAATCAGACAGAAGCACTAAATCATAAAAAACTCACATTTTTACATTGCACGGCTGCTTTGAGGTGAAATGCCCCAAAACAGCTGGGTGAGAACAGCATGTGAGAACTGCCATTCCCCACTAAAAGTGGCAGAAGCAGCTGCCTGCAGCAGAGTCTTCAGCGTGCCAGGTCCCAGCTGGGCAACTCYTTCCCCCTGCTTTGGCTACTACTCCCTCTCTGAATGTAAATGAGTTATATTCCTGGCTGGGAATAAACCAGGCCATTATACACAGGATGTTTTAAAACATGTCCCAAGCATAAATCATTGAAAACCATTTGCTAGAAGACTCAAGGTGAAAAGCAGCAGGAAAACAAACCCATATTCCCATATAGGCTGCACAAAACAATCTCAGTTCCAAAAAAGATGATTTGACCGTTTACTGGCTGGTCTGGAAGAGAGTTTCCCTCAGTAGTTACTAAAATAAATCAAGGCATAAGCTTTCTAATTAGAATATTAAACATTGCTATCGATCAAAACCTTGACATAAAAGAAGACAAATACATTAATATTTACTATCAAATAAGACAGAACTCTGACTTTAAATAATGTATCAAAAAATGTTTAGATTAACAATAAATTATCATTTTTCATTAATTAARTTTAATTAAAATACTTTACCTGCATTAATCAGATCTGGATCTACTTCACTTTCAAGTGGATAAGGACCCTGAAAACAATACAGAGATATGTCAACATTTATATTAAAATACTTTTAAAATACGATTCATAATTGCTGTAGTATTTCTAATGCTTATTACTGAAAACAGATTGTGACAGACATACATGCTTTTATCTTAAGCAGAAAACAATCCTGACATTACCAGCCACAATTTACAACAACTAACATATCAGAGCTGATGGATATATTGTTCAATTATGTTAGAATTTCTACACAACCACAAAGTGAAAGGTTTGTTTGATTTGGGTTTTTTTTTTTTTATTCTTACACAAGGTGACAGACATTTTTCAGAAAAAGATCATAACTGCAACTTCATAAAACCATATGACAGTAAAACCATATGACATAAAACCGTATGACAGTAAAACTAATATTCAGTTTAAGCATTATTTAAAATTGTGTCTGATAAGGTTTACAATGCTTGCTCGTTCAAACTCCTAATGGTTCTGACTACAGCAAAACATGTACTTAAGGCCATCCTTGGTAAAGTTGCACCATAATCATAAAATGAGCATTTCCTTAAAAATTTCCCTGCAGCACAATGAGAATTTTATTATGATGCAATATAGCATATATTTGAATAYGATTTTTTAGTAATATAATTATCAAGTTGGAGGTGGGCAGGAAATAAAACCCAGTCACAGTAAAATAAAAACACTCTAATAAGTGATCAGGATATATTCTTACCAAACCCAGGACTCCATTTTCACTCTGTAAGTGAACAGTTATGTCCGGACTGATGAAGTTACTGGCCAACAGTGGGATTCCAATACCCAGATTAGCTAAAAAGAAGTGATTAAGGCACMAACACTTACTGTAAACAACTACATTTAAAAAATTACTATTGTACTATGAGTAGATTAGAACTGTTCCTTCACAAGCACATTCATTTTTATCTCCTATTTGTGATGCATTATTTTGCCATTTGGACTTTCTAATTGCATTCTGTCAAATCCTTTACTTGACTAAAGAACAACAGCACAAATAAGGATTCTTTTCCAACTTTTTTAAAAAAAAACTTGCAACACATTCAACTGCTAACAAAACCACCAGATATAAAAACTCCACGTGTTTAATGTCTCAGCATCCCTTCTATTTCAATTGGGTATTATTGAAATAAGAGAATCACAAGGTCTGGTAAAGACAATGAACATGTTAATTAATCCATTCTAAGCAAACCAGATGCGCGCATTATTCCAGTCAGCAGCCACTCTAACCTATAGCACAGCTGAAGGATACCATACATGCCATCCTCAAACTCTAAAGCAGCTCGTTTGATGATCCTCTCCCTCACGTTATCTCCTTTTTTTTCTTTGGCTTTCGAGTCATCAGGCTTTCGAATTGATAAGCGCTGCAAAATAAGAAGTAATCGTAAGATTAGTATCCAGATTCTTGCTTCTCAAGACACAAAAGCCTGAACTGTGATTGCACTGAGATACTTGGTCTAAGAATAAAGTTATTTATTCATCTTCTACCAAAAAAGACCTTTTATTTTAGGCATTCAAGCTTATCTAAGCCAATGGAGTCATCAAATATCACCAATGACAGTAAAATATTATTTCTTTATCTGTATTACCAAGCCTGATACATAGAGAAGTGGTGAAGAAGGCATAAAGCATTAGTGCAAATACTAGCAAGTTTGAGATTCATTACCCCACAGACATCTAAATACATTCGTAAAATGTCAACCAAAAATACAAATACTGCTCTGTTTCTGCATTCATTCAAGCCAATGAGCTATTCTAGATTTATAAGGATGACAGACAGACAAATGTCATTCATCTAAAGACACTGGGAGCTAAGAAACAAGCTTTCAAACATAAATCTCTATAATTTTCCAAACCTTCATGAAGTTATTTCCTGAAATTTTCTCATCTTAAGTAGATGCTTTGCAAAATCACATGTAGGTGAAAATGCCATGACATTCAAGAAGTTTGCAACATCTTTCTTTTAAATTATTGTCTACATAAATTATGTTCTTTGCACATCTCTCCTATGCATATAAAATTCCTCTGGGCAACATCATGTCCTGCACCCCCATATGTCTTCACGTCTTCTCCTACTTCAGGCTACAATTAACACATCARGAAAAATTATCCTGTTAATTTTCATCACCACAAAAGAATTTTCGCAGAGTCACTTTCCCCTAAGGCAGTCAGAAACAGTCAGTATCAATCCTCTTGAATTTCATATCAACTTCCCTTTTACGCCTTGGCTATTTTTCCTAGAATTGCTTCACTTGAGGATTATGAATAAAGTAAGAACAATTACAGAATGTTTCTACGCAGCAAAGAGAAGGCTGGAGAGAAATTATAGCTGGCACTATAGAGACCATTTCTGAGCCATATTAGGCAGGAACTGCTATTTAAAGCCAGTAAGAATTATGACAGACTATCTTCTCTTTATTTCTTATATTCTTCATCTTCTCCCACCACTTCTCATACTCATGCTTTTCAGTGTACAGCCAATTCATATACAAAATTTAATGGTAGAGGAAAAAAATCTGCCATTTCCTTTCTATACCTGTAGTAATGAGAGGTGCCACTGCCTGAATTACAAAATTGCACAAGCAAAATTAATCTCTGTTACAATTTTGCTTTGCACTTTATAGTAGTTTTCTCCCTCCTCCCACCCCACTTTTTTTCAGAAGCATTTAGGGAAGGGACAGATGACTCGGTAGGTATTCACCACCTGTTCAGTAGATATTCACTTACGCAGCCAAGATGGAGTAGAAGCAACAGCTTAATAAATGAAGAAAGGATTTCTGACATAAAAGGTAAAAYGCTTTTCTGTGAGATAATGCAGCCATTCAGAAGAAAACAGGCCATTAATTGTAATCTAACCCAACATAACCAGAGGGAAAAAAAAAAAGGTTTGACACATCTGTTTGCAGTCAATTGCTCTACAACATGCGATATGCTTTTGCAGAATGAACAGATGTAATTAAAAAAAAAAAGCTTGTTAACCTTAGCATTCACAAAAGAGTTTACTCAGAGGAAAGGCCTTGTATGACTTTCTAGGACTTTGTGACTTGATTTTCATAACAAAAACTTTCATTATTGCAATTCCTTTCTGCCTTTTTTTTTCACAGTCTTTTTCCTTGTGTCATATATCTTCTCATCTACTGCTCTTCTGACAACAATTTGACTAATTTCCACCTCCAGAGTATTCAGACACAGAAGAAATACAGAATTTTCAACTGCACTTTAAAGTATCATCACATCACCATGAATATAGGGACACAGCTTGAGTGTAGCAAAGCCACAGAAACAATAAAGAGCAATTACAAAACCATAATTTTCTTGGATGTTTTCAGTGGAGGAATATTATTGCTGCTATTTTTAATAATTTTTGACATCGTTTATTAAGACTAGAATGGTCAAGATCTAAAAAAGTTCCTGATTAAAGGAAAGGGAACAGGGGTTTCCAGTATCTTTGCAACATAATGTAATTCAATAGACACCACAAAAGGACCGAGACTGGCCCTACATGCCCATATCAAAAAATCTCAGTGGAAGAGAAAGAATTTACTTGTCAAATCAGATCCTGGTCTAGATGCTCCCCCTCCTGTGACTACAGCAGCTGAGCTGAGAGAGGAAAGGACAATGAAGTAGAATCTTCCACTAAACTGTCAACTGCAGTAAAGCCATTCAGGGCTACAGGCAGTTGCTCTAAATTATTCAAGGACTGAACCATAGGGTCTGGGATGTAAGAAACATGGCTTAATCCTCAGGCCCCCACCAAACTACTAATTACTGAAGTACCTACCTATGCTCCAGTTTCTAACAAAACTTGATGGATCTTTCGCACACTATTTTCTCAGAGCTACCCCCAGGTGACTAGAATAAAAACTGTGCAAATTTTAAATACACCCCAAGTTAAAATATGTTGTGACCAAGAAGCTCAGCTACTTACTTCAATTCTCTTCTCAAACTTCTCTCCTTGTAACAGGCGATCAACATAGATTTTGGGAACATGAATGTCTTCTGGGGCAAATGCTCCTATATCAACAATTTCTTCTACCTACGGAGTGAAAAGGAAAAGTGAAAATATTTAGAAGAAAGTATTTAATGAAAGGTTTTACCAATGAGGTTTAGAAATGAAATATTAAATACACAGCAGATCACATCAAGAAAACTAAGGAATGGGACAAAATAAATACAGTCTCTAAAACAGGTTAACTTAGATGCTTAGCTGTCCTCTTCTTTCAAAGCACATGTCTTCATATAAACTGAAGGTAATTTATGTTCTAACAGGCCCATTTATAGGGTAAATTTAAAGAAATATGATACGTACAATTACATCAGAAGTGTTTGCATTAAAATAATTTCCACTCAAACAGAAGAAAACAATATGCTAGTAACAAAATATCAAAATATAAAGCAGAAGTATCAATTTAGAGGATAGAAACACAGAAGCTGAATCAAAGGTTTTTCATAGTGTACCCAAAAATAGAAAACATTCGAACTGTAATAATGGATTGCGAGAAAGAAGACCCAAAATGCAGATTTAGAAGTTTTTACACTTAATGGAACAGAGGTTCTTCACAAAATTACACTCATCCACATGTAGTTGATTTGAAATGCCATTTCTCTGCAGAACCACAGACAAGTAGGAGTTTTCTTCCTKCTACACTTGGGTTCAGCGTGGTTTAGTCAGAGAGCCTAGTACAGATAGATACCTCCATCACAGACCCTGAGCCGGGGCTGGTGCTTTCCCTGACAAAGTCTGAGGTGCTCAGAGCACATCCCACTCTGCACAGACACTAATGTTGATGTTGTCAGCAGTTACATCTGACCACAGGGAAAACACGTGATGTTAGAGAAACACTCAAAGATGGCATACAACARTCTACTACAGAGGACATAACAATGTACTCAATTTACTCACAAAGTCTCCAAACTGCTCTATCACCAGGAATTCATTAAACTATTAGGAATGTCCAAAGTCCAATAACCCCAAAGCAAGACCCAGGGAATGGTAAGGGYAAATATTTTTACAGCTATCACCAGTGAAGCAACATTAAAGACTTTAAAACTCAATGGACATCCTACTTCACAATATGATCAATACTAAAATCTATAGAACATCTGATAGACAATTACCTTCCTACTGTGCCTTGAGTTGTGACAATGAACAAACAAACAAATCAACCAATCCACCCTAAAAGCAGGAGAGGGAGAAGAAAAATAAAAAAAAAAAAAAAAAAAAAACAAACCTAAAGATCACAGGATCAGGTTCAAATTATCCCTAAAAAAAAAAGCCCTGGGTTAAAGAGACAGAAAGGACATGCTGTGAAATCTTCAAGGCAAATATCCCAAGAAAGAGGCACTAACAGCCACGGCTCAGTGTCCAGGGAGAACAGAAACCCAAACCCAGAAAGCCCTTACCCACAAGAAAAGGAGAGACAATCAAACAAGTATTTTGAAAATTCTGGCTATTCATGAAAAAAATGCTACAGCTGCATCCATTTCACTGGAAGTTTCTTATTTTATACATGCATTTTAAGGTTAATGTGGAGACCAAGTCAAACACAGGGTAAAATAAAAAAAAAAAATTCTGAAGCACACTGCACTTTTGGTGCAGTGACTACTGTCAGAATATGTTCAGAAGGGAGGAGAAGGAGGACACAAGACTTTCCAATGAAGCAATAGGCAAGCAGATCTGCTACCAGCAGAATTCCCAAATTCACCCTCTCTAATTAAATTTGTCTTCACTTATCAGATGGAAATCTAGGCCTGGGGAATTCTAATTGCTCCTGATTTGAACTTTCTCACAGAATAAGCACATTTATTTGCTGCAGTAGCTGAGATTATAAAACCAAAATCTTGGCACAATTCAAGCAACTCCAACAGAATTATGCTGTCAGAAAACTTGACACACTGAGTCTCTTTCCCCCCCAAAGAATACACAGAATAAATTATTCATCCAACAATAAATTGTTGGATTTTGTTATCAGTCACGCCATTCTGCTAATTGGTTTGTATTTTGTGTCTTGGGACACGGCAGTCAGCCTGATAGCTTTTTCTCTATTATTTCCAAATATTAACCCAAATGAACAGCACACTACAAACCGCATTTTGTCCTAAGGCTTTCAGGTTAACATAAGGATCCCTGATGATTGGAACACCTTTCCATGTTCTACCAATATGTGGAATAAGCATCAAGTCTAACTAAAATTAAATATGTTCAAATATCTCCATAGCAGTTAAGAGGTATTTGGAAAAGGGATTAAGAATTTGCACGTGATGTATGAAAAAATAACTCTCGTCAGTTCTGCAAGTGAGAGTAATCAGCATGTTTACATGGGAAAGGGAGAATTCATGCAGGGGAAGCAGAAACACTGTCTGACTGCTCTAGCTCTCTCTCCCAACTTCTCTCTGAGGGAGTTCAAGGAGAGGCACTGTTCATGGGTTGCCTGCCATCAACATTGCCAGAGGTGAAGCTGTGCCAGCAGAAGTGACACCAGGAAATCTGATGGCTGTGGGAATCAGCCCCTTAGTGCCTGYGGCTCCCACAAGGCATTGCCCCACTACCTTCCTAGTAAAGAATGACACTACAAATTTAACAGTTCCATCACTAGGCATATCCACTGCCCTTTCAGGATTCCTATTTCTTTATGAGTTGGCTCTGTAACACCTCTGTAGCAGAAGCCTCAAGGAGAAAGGCAGGAGTGCATCCATTTAATAATTCAAAGGATGCATGTGAGCTTTTTGCCTGCTCTGCTCTCATCTTACCTATGCTTCTGTTCTTTCTTTCCTGTACTCACCCTGCCTCAGGCTTTATTTTGTCAAGTACAGAAGAAACTCTGTAAACATCAAAAATCATTATGTGGCATCCCACCCAAGAGACACCAAGTCTGGCAAAGCATAGAGAGGAAACTAATCAGGGCAGATCACCTCCTGTGCACTTTGTAATTAGAAAATCAAAATCCTCTGGTACCATTTTGACTGCCTTGATCACATGTGTCCATCTTAAATCTTCATTTCATCAATGTGCAAAAAGACAGAAAATGTTTACACCTTCATTATTAGGTAGAGCTAAAAAGTAAGTTCAGGAGACCGTGTGGGCTGACTTCCCTCTTCTGGGAAGGCTCTGATGAGCCTTCCCAGATCCAAAAATCCTTTTATTCAAAAAGGATTCAAAAAATCCTTTTATTGTTTCAAAAGTTTCACAGTATTGGGGGTTTCTTCCTGGGTATAGTGTTCTTGCAGATCATCTCTGCTGACAATAGAGGCAGGATGAATGRATTTCATCCTTTCTGAACACCGGTTTGTCTGTAAATACACCCAGAACATAAAAGCTGTTCTCTGCTATGATTCACAAGAGCCTTCTGCCATTCCTTTTGGTATCAGCACTCACAAAGGCAGTGGTCATTTACCTCACAATACCATTTCTCTGTAATTTACACTTACTTTGCCTTTTTAAAGTAATTTGAATTCCTTTTCCTTACAAAAATCCACCTACCTCTCTAGATTTCTTTCAGAATTYCTGAAGGCTTCCAGAGAAAAAAGGGAACCATGATAGTTACAGACTTCTAGCAAGAAAAAAAGGAAACTCTSCTTCCTGACCAAAAATTGATAAGGAAATGACAACGACAAACTATGCATTCCGAAACACTCAAAAACAAAAAGGCTTTTTGAGCATGCTCCTTTTACCTATTTCTTCCAAATGTTTTCAGCTGGTTTAGTTTAAAATCTCAGTTCTCATACAACTAAGCTATAACCAGAAATCACAATATAATTCCTTGCTACATAAAAAAAATCAAAAACATGTGCATAAAAGAAAGAAAGAGATGGGGGAAAATCAGAGCTTAAGAAACCTATGCATTTTTAAGCAACTTATTTTTACACTAGTTTTATTAAATCTCTCTATCACTATCTTAATTAGTTCATTTCAGTTCTTCAAACTGAAATAAAGACCATTACTAGCAGAACATTAGTAAAATAAAACATTACAACTGGTTAAATGTCCAAAACAACAAGAGGAATGAAATAAAATTTAGCCCCTTACACACACTCATCAGTGCATTTCTTCAGTTCACTACTGGAAGAGCCAGGATGCCACTACAAAATGCATTACAACATTTATAAAATCATGAAATTAAAAAAGCTTTAAATACCTACTACAGGTTAAAATGATAAATTTTATGTGTCTGCAGTCAAGATCACAGAATCTGTGATCAACCATTCAYGATGGTTAATGACAAAAAAGAGAGGGGGAAAAAATAATTGTTTAGACTGAATTTCACAAAAAGTTTTGATATTGTAAAACTGAAATGCACTCTCAAAACAGTCCACTGGAAACGAAGATCACTTACTGAACTACAAAAAAAAAAAGAAAAAGAAAAGCAGTTTAATATTACTAAGTTCTTCCTGCATGTAGGGAGATGAAACACAGGATCTTTTGTTCAATTCTTTCCCATTCTAAGGTGAGAGAGACCACGAAATTTCTACTTCTGTCAACATCCTACAGTAATGTAATGACAGCCAGTCAATAACCACTCTGAAAAAGAGACTTTTATAACTTTAAAATCACACAGCTACCAAACAACCTGATAAAGGTGCATCTTGGTCAATAATTACCACATTATGCTGACATCAGACCTCAAATAAATGTTTTCATAAGCGTACTGAGGGGAGGAAACAGTAAAAACATGTAAAGTTTGTATTTGTTGGAGAACCTTTTATATAATGAGCCTGGTGCAGGCCACACTGGAGACCCACTTAGCCCAGCAAGCTTTCTTCTTAGCAACAGGATCTTAAAGGACTGTGTGGCACCTCTGGTTATATTTCCCAGCTGTCAGCAAATGCAGTTGAAGGATGTCCTCAGACAGAGGCTGGACATCAACCACCTGCTTCATAGCTGCTCGTGAGCTAGGAAGTAATGGTTTTCTTAGAACCAAAAGACACTATTTCTTAAACTTAACTGTATGTATGAAAGACATTTCTCACTACCTCTTGTAATTTCACTGCGTGCTCTCTTCTCTGTGCCATACAGGAAGAACATGCAGCTGTTCTTTC